TGTTTGATCAACATTGAGCTGTGTTATCGTTTGTCATTGCTTCATCTTATGAAAAACCTAACGCCGTTCATCTCTAAAAAATCATAGCAATACCTACACTTAAGGAATCGGCTTGAAAATTTCAATAGCTTAAAATCAAACGTAAAATTATATCTCTACCAATTTTCGTGCTTCCAAGATACTTATGTTCAAAGATATACCCGTTCTTACCTGTAATTTTGCGCCATCCTGTTCAGTTTATTTATGAATTCTGAAACTTTCTGACCGAAGGGACAAATATTAAGTCCTCATCTATAGTTAGCCATTTTCCACTAGAAGGGTCCATCATCTGAAATTCCAAAAGTTCCACATTTCTAGACTCCCTCCACGACAAGTGCCCTTTAAAATTTACGAACTAAAAGTGCTTATTTCCATTGTTCTCAATATTTTCAGATTTCCCGAAATTGCGCGAATTGCTCAACAACCGAAACGAGTCTGTGGCGAAAGAATGAGGAGGGGGATCTGGAGTGCAAGTGAGTCTTTTTTGGCTTCTAAATTGGGGTCAGAGTACACAATGCAAAAGCAGAAAAAGCAGAAAATGGGTCCCAAAGGGAGTGATGATTGAAGTGAAGAGACCAACGCAAATGACTCTACTGACTTGTGACCAAAAAAAGAGAGAGAGCTTTGTTGCAGCACGTCAATTTTGGAATCGAATGAATAGAATTTCAAGTTAAGGCTTGATGAAAAGAAAGCGAATTAGATGTGGCTACCTGGTTCAGTGCTCGGACTCAAAATGCGTGGGTAGTTAAGTGGGGAGATGTTTCATTTTGGGGACACCATAAAACCTGTAATAGAAGAGCCCTCACACTGTCAATTTTGAGCCTGTTTATGTCGGTTTCTAGAAGAGATATCAAAAATGTGTCAACTAACAAAACACTTCTGATATTATGATAAACAATTTATCAGTTGACAACTTTTTGATATCTTTCACAGGATACGAAATAAATTGACACAAATTTAAATGTTAGGGGACTCTTCTAATACAGGGTTTACAGAATTTTTCAAATTAGCTTTTTAATTAGAAATCTGAAATTTTAAGATTCCTGATTTTCAGAATTGGAAAGAAAGACTTCATTTAAAAAATATGGCAAGATTCGCAAAATCTTAGAATTCAAAAATATCAAATTTCCAAACAATTCATAAATTTCACAAAATTCAAAAAATCACTAAAAATTTCTTTTAAAAAATTCGAAAGTTTTACATTATAAATAAGGTTCCGTTTCAAATGTTTTTTTGAAACTTTTGAAGAGACGTTGACTATTCGTTTAAATTTCTCACGCAACAATCAAAAATTTTCAAGCCTCAAAATAATCAAAAGCGTCAAAATGTCAAAAGAGTCGTTTTCAAAATAATTATAAAATTCAAAAGGTCAAAAGAGTCATTTGCCAAAATATTCAAATTGAAGTTCGTTGACTTTAGTCAATTATGATTAAAATGCATCAAAAGGGTCGAAGATGATTTTTATGCGAATAGGTGGAAGTGTGAAACAACGAAGTGTGGTATAGTAGTGAGAAGCAGAGATGTCCTGCTTCCGGATTCTGGATTCCGGATTCCGTATTCCGGTTATTGGATTCTGGGTTCCGGATTCCGGATTCCGGATTCTGGATTCTGGGTTTCGTATTCCGGATTCCGTATTCCGTATTCCGTATTCCGGATTCCGGATTCCGGATTCCGGATTCTGGATTCTGGGTTTCGTATTCCGGATTCCGTATTCCGTATTCCGTATTCCGGATTCCGGATTCCGGATTCTGGATTCTGGATTCCGGATTCTGGATTCTGGATTCTGGATTCCGTATTCCGGTTACTGGATTCTGGGTTCCGGATTCCGGATTCCGGACTCTGGATTCTGGGTTCCGTATTCCGGATTCCGTATTCCGTATTCCGGATTCCGTATTCCGGATTTCGGATTCCGTATTCTGGATTCTGGATTCCGGATTCTGGACTTTCCGGAGAATAATAATAATATCGTTGTAATCAGCCTGTTTGAGGGTACTACTGATTATTTTTCGTAACTTTTGAAGTTATCCGACACTTCCGACTCTTCTTGAAGCATTTAACACTTTTGACGAAATATGATATCCACTATTTTTCATTTGCCACGTTCGACTATTTCGACGATTTACTTTTTTTCGATTTTGAAACGTTTGACTATTTTGATGATTATTTTCCGTGAGAAAAAATTATTTTTGAGCAATTTGATTAATCAAAATTGTCAAATTTCACGTGATTTCATAAATGAAAAATTTGAAACGGAACCTTATAATTTATAAACCCTTTCAAAAATTCGAAATGTGGAAATTTTTTAGAAGGGTTACTGTATTTTGAAGAGCCCCATTAATTTTTAATTTCAAGCCTATTTTTCACGGTTCCTGTTAAAGATATGAACAAGTTGTCAACTGATAAATCGTTTATCATAATATCAAAAACATTTTACCAGTTGACAGTATTTCAATATCTCTCATAGGAACCGAGATATTATTGTTGTCCGAAAAAATTGGAGTTGAGACGCAGACAGTTAATCGAAATATTTCTCTGCGTCTCCACCGACTATGCGCTATTTAGGCTTGTCGCTTCGAGGTGCCTACCGTATTCAGACTGCAAAAAATAATCTCTCGCTCCAATTTTTTCGCATAACAATAATAATTGAGCGCAAATGCACTGGTTTCTATTGGTCTTCTATTAGAGCATTTAGGGCCGCTCCAGGAACGGTAAAACCTGTAATAGAAGGGCCCCTAAACTGCCAACTTTGATCTAATTTATCTTGGCTCCTGTCAAAGATATGAAATACTTGTCAACTGATAAATTTTTCATGATTATATCACAAAAATTTTATCAGTTGACACATTTTTGATACCTTGCTTTTTTGATACCTATAGGAATTGAGATAATTGACCTCAAATTGAAATGACTTCTATTGGGATCCTATAAGAGAATACATATAGTGATGGTCCAGGAAAACATATTTTTTCATTGCCTGTAACTTGTACTTCCGTCTGAACAAAGTCAAAAGACCCCTGGAACTCTGCAACACAGCGCCGAAAACACGAAAACGTCGTAGTCGAAAAGCAAAGAAGAATCTCGAAGAAGAAGATTAACTTTGACGAACTCTCATTTTTTGTCATACTTCTTTTTTTCTTACTTTCTGTAGCTTCTTCTTTTTCTCGTTCTATTCAAGTACAATCAATCATTTTGCTCTGTTTTCTTTTTTTTTCTTTCTCTGTCTGTCTTTTTGGATTATCTGCCCATTTTCAACTCCTTCCCTTTTTCAGCTTACTCAATTTTAACCCCATTGTAATCCTTTGTATCCCGTCCATACAAGTGAAGGGAAATAGGCCACGCCCACTTTCCCGCAAACTTTGGGTTCTTCTTCTTTTTCTTTTTTTTTTTGTATTCCTGACCTTTTCAACTTTATAACTTTCTAGTTGAGCAAATAAATTGAGCACCAGAATTTTTTTTGAATTTCTAATCATTGGGCACCTAGATGAAATTTGGTCTAACCTAGAAGCCCCAAGCGAACACATCAATAACCAATGTGTGAAATTTGAGATTTCAGTTGACGTATTCTTTCATCCAGTCATCGTCCTGAGGTCCCTTTATATAACCTGGCACCCATCACTCACGTGGTTCTTTTTCTGTTGAAACGTTTGGTCAGAATTTTTCTCCGCGGGCTTCTCTTTTTTTTCCGTCAAAGAGTTTTTAGAAAAAGTGTAATAATAACTGGTTCCTGGGAAGAAGAGAGAATGAAAAATAGGGTCAATCGTTTTGAATGAGTATACGTTTTCGTGGTTTTGAGGTTTTGAGGTGAGACTAAAGATTCCTTCGAGTTCAAAGAATTTCGAGGTTCTGAGGCTAAGTTTAGAAATGCTGAGGTTACAATAACCTGAAGGAAACATCATCGTCTATTCCGGAGTTCTTCAAAATTCCAAATTGTTTTGTAATAGAATCCTAGAGAATTTTTTTCGAACCTCATAAAATCTGATGTTCTAGAAATATCAAAATTACATTTTTTTTTAAATTTCAAAATTCGTGAAATTCAGAGTCTCAGAATCTCAGAATCTCAGAATCTCAAAATCTCAGAATCTCAGAATCTCGGAATTTCGGAATCTCAGAACCTTAGAATCTCAGAATCTCAGAATCTCAGAATCTCAAAATTTAGAAATATCGGAATGGCAGAATCTCAGAATTTCAGAATCTCGGAATCTCAGAATTCCAGAATCTCCGAATCTCCGAATCTCAGAATCTCCGAATCTCAGAAAATCTCAGAGTCTCATATTTTTTTCAAAATCTGGGCTATAGTGACTAAAAACAAATCACCTAACGACCCAAAACCTTTTGTAGCATACCAAATTCAATTTTACTTGTATACGAATTTGCAAGCTTGCGGTTTTTAAAATTTCAAAACTCAATTTTTCCAAAATTTTCCCAAATTTTTTTCCTGATTTTCTTCTCCTACCGCACTTTAATGCTTCAGATCCAATAACCAGTTGTCTGGAACATTTTCTAGGGACCAACAAGAGTTATAGACACCAAAAAACACCGGTGGTGCAAAATAAAAATTGAACACCACCCACTCTGAAAATGAAAGAGAACTCTGTTTGTTTATTTTTCGGTGGGAGAATGTCGCCAAAAAAATAAAACAAAGTTCAAAAACAAAATTGAGAGAGAGAGAAAGGGGGACATCAGCTGACCCCCCAGCCAATTTTGGGAAAAGATTTTTCCCCAAAAAATGTGGGAAAACACGACGGCCTCATGCTCCACCGACTTTATGCTCAATTTCGCGTAATTTTCAGCTAGCTGCTACACTACAAAAATTGTTCATGTTTCCTCCTCCTTCTTCCTTCTTCCATACTTGCAACCGGGCCTTCGTGGAATCTGTCATAGCTTCTTTTCGAATCAATATTTTCACCCAACTAAATTAAATATGATAGAACTCAACGAGTGCTACAAAATGATATTATTTAGAAACCTGTGCCTTGTTTTTGAACAAAGTTACAGACGAAAAACCGAGGCCCGACCCGGCCTGGGCCTTCGCGACAAGGCCCGGCCACTTTATGACTTGTAACGTTGTTCATAGAGAAGACACAGTTTTCCAAATAATATCAGTTTGTAGTACTCGCCGAGTTCTATCACATCTAATTTAGTTGGGTAAAAATATTAATTCTAAAAGAAGCTATGACAGATCCCGCGAAGGCCCGGCAAAGGCCCGGGTGCAAGTATGCCTTCTTCCCCACTTTTTCGCGAGAAGGAATGAAAATTTTTATGAGATTGCTTCTTCATTCTTCTCTTTCTCACATTATCCCTCGATTCTCCTGATTTTTCCCACTATTCTCATGCCAGGGAGCGCGGCCTCGGAGCTTCCTAGGATTCACACCACCCCGACGAGAAACATTTTTTGGTCGAGATATATCTCTCTCATCTCTTTTTCTATATCTATAATCACTGACATTTCTCAAAACCCCTCCCTTTCCGATGGACGGCGGGTCATATAGCATTGTGTGTGTGTCAGTTGGCACCCGAGGATTCCGATCATTGGCTGCTCCTCTCCGTCTCTCTGTCTCTGGACAAAACCCATTTCACACACAACTCATCATTTCTCATGACATATTTTTCTCGTTTCTTAAAAAGTTTTTCAATTTTGCAGAAAAAAAAAATGATATTCATCAATACTCGACCCGTCGATGAGAATGCTCAATGTGAACGAAGGCCGTCGAAAGCGCCCAGTCATTCGGGTCATGGTCATCCACACGGAGATGGTGCAGCTCATGTACTCGTAAGTGCAGATTTTCGAAAAGATTTTGAACTTTTGGTATTGTCCAGGGGCACTTTGGGCTCAATTATTTCGATTTCCGTTAGAGATATCGAAAAAAAACTTCAAATTATGGCATTCACCGCATTAGCTTTCGTAAATCTTATACGTACAATTTGAGCTCAATTATCTCAATTCCTGTAAGAGATAACAAAAATGTGTCAACTGATAAAATATTCAACATGATATCAGAAATATTTTATCAGTTGATTAATTTTTGCTGTCTCTAATAGGAACCTAGATAATTGGGCTGGAAATGCAGCAACCAAAAATTATGTTAGAACATTTCTGTAAGATATTAAAATTTTAGGAACTTCAAAAGTGGTTTTTGGTATCATGGACTCGAACTAAATTTATCAAGATGTGTTTCACTGAAATTGGAAAAAAATCAAAGAGGTTGCTCTTCCGAATTCTGAACTTTTTCTATTTTGTTTCTCGCAAATATCAAAAAAGAAACCGTTGTTCTGAAGGCAAATAACTTGATAAATTCGCTTAAAACTAACATAAATTGGGGGTATTTGGTTGTTCCATGTACCATTTTAAGATAATTTGTCTCAAGATCTGAATTGATTTCACAATCTGACAATGTCAAAAAAAAGCCTCAAAAACAGAGTCTATTTTCGAAGCGACAGTATATTAAAATTATAATTCCGTAAATGCTCTTTGAACTCAATTATCTCGTTTTCTATTAAAGTTATCAAAAATTACTTTATTGATAAAATATTGGTTAAATTATGATAAACATTTTATCAGTTGACTACTTTTTGATATCTCTCATAGGAACCTAGATAATTGAGCTCAAAGTGCACGTATATGGTGGGCTTCTATAAGAGCATATATGTACGGTTATTTTTGAGTTCAAAGCATTCTTAGCTTTCTTCCTCTTTCTTTTTTCTTAGCTAAGGGTCACTTATAAACCCGAAATAACCCGCGCAATTCCCCGAAGACCTTGATTTTTGATTCTTGGCAAGCTGCCAAGCCTGTTACGCCTTTCTAACCAAATTAATTTTCCAGAGACTCTCCCTATCGCTGATCCTGTTCTACCTTCTCGTCTCCATCTTCCCAGCAATCCTCTTTTATCCAGTTTCCCTATTGAGCATGTTCGTTCCAACGCTTGCTCTTTTCTTCGCGTTATGCTCAATTCGAGGCGACTATCAAAGTACGCAATGGCCCATTCTCTTCATTGCTCTCATCGGAATTCTGCTCAAAATCGCTGCCATTGTCGTTTATATCTCCTTGTTTCCTTTGAAAGACTACTCAAGAAAACCGGGACGCGGACCTCGTGAGTTCTTCGGTTTTTGATATTTGGAATTTGAAGTTTATGAAGTTTCAGAGAGAACAGAAGCCGAGATGAAGCACTATCGTACAGTATTCTACATCATTCTGGCTACGGTGGAATTCTTCATTTTGATAATTGGAATTTGTCTGAAGTGGCAGTTGGTTACTCTTCATCAGAGAGAACAAATTCAGAAGAGAGTGGGTTTTCAAGTTTTCTTGAAATTTTGCTCATATACAGTACTGGCCGATAAAGTATACAAAAAAATATTTCCAGTTGGTTTTTGGTCATTTTCAAGAGGCTAGAGCTAGGCTAACAAGTTTCCAATCACTTCGAGAATTTCGTTGGGTGTAAAACAGGCCTAGATTGAAAGCTTTGCATTCATAGAATTTTTTGGAAATTCCTACTTGTTTAGCAATTAGCCAATTTCTGAAATACACATTTTTGGCCCGTTTTTGTACTGAAACCTTGAAAAGGTAGGTGTCCTCCAGAAATCGGCAAATAGCTAAAGAACCAGGAGCTTTTCAAAAATTCTGTGAATGCAAAGGTTTTAATCTAGGTTTGTTTTGGAGCCTCCAAACGTTTCAAAAGAATTGGAGACTTGACAGCCGAGATCCGGACTTCTGAAAATGGCCAAAATGCCGAAAATCAACTGAAAACTACATTTTTGTGTACCATATATCTCGGTTCTTGTAAATGATATCGAAAAATTTTCAACTATTAAAATGTTGACGATATTATGACAAACATTTTATCAGTTGATCACCTTTTGATATCTTTTTAGGAACCGAGATATATAGGCTCAAAGATGGCGGTTTGAGTGGCTTTCTATTAGAGTGTTTTCGGTATCTTATTGGCCGTTACTGTACCTGTATAATCTCGCCTTAACAACCCAAAAAACTTCTCTACCTTCTCTTCTTTAAGGAAAAACCTGAAAATTCAAAAAAGTCAATTTTCCAGAGATCCACATTGGTTTCCAACCGACCTCTTATGGAAGGCGAATCTGCTGCAAGTGTTAGTGGCCCAAGAAGATCTCTTCAAGTTTGATAAACTTCTTTCTTTCTGAAAAAGTTTCCCTTTGAAATCCAACCATGAGCTCTCCATGATCTCCTATTCTTTCGCCCTCTCAATTTTTCTTCCTCTCTCTTTTTCTCTCTTTAGATGTTCATTTTTACGGTGTACATAAAAATGTTTTATTGTCTTAATCCATGATTTCTAAAGATTTTTCGAGTCAGACACATGATTTTTAGACCCGTTGGGGAGTTTTCAGAATTTGTGATCTGTGCTGTTTGGTATTAAAATTAGGTAAGGTGCACTTTTCAAAATTTTCACTCGACTTGCTAATCATGCCGAAAGTATACCTTATAATAACTAGAGCTAAAAACCCATTAAAATGTACATTGTAATTTGTGTGCCAGAAATCAATAAAACTACAGTAATCCACAAATAAAACCCATTAAAAATTCATGAGTATTGAAATGGGCTTCATTTTCAACGCCTAAAAAACCAGTAATTATAAAAAAGGTGTTTTGTTGAGATCAAAAATGCACAATCTTTTTTGGACACATGTGCGATTTGAGCTCAATTGTCTCAAAAATTTGTCGACTGATAAAATGTTGGTGATATCATGATAAACAATTCATTAGATGACAGATTTTTGATATCTTTCATAGCAACCGAGAAAATTGAGCTCAACCTGCACATACATATAGGATGGGCTTCTAATTGAGTAAATACCTTACACCTTGTACTTTGAGCTCAATTATCTCGGTTGCCATAAAATATATAAAAAAAAGTAGCCAGCTTATAAATTGTTTATCATAATATCACAAACATTTTATCAGTTGACAGATTTCTGATGTCTCTCACAGGGACTGAGATAATTAAACTCAAAGTAAAGGTATAGGAGATCGCTTCTATTAGAGCGAAGTTGGCATTTCCAAAACAACAGTAATTCGGATAAGCACTCCTGTCTTCTTTTCTTCATCCTCTTCTCATTAGCAGAAAAAAATCGATTTCTTATTTTCCTCTCCTCTCCACTTATTATACCAACACATCTCTCTTACCTGCTGCTCCATGGTTACGCCTTCGATCTCCGCCTCCTCGCGCAAACGTCTCCTGAGGATTCTACTTTTTGCTTATCTCATACATACTAGCAATCTATTTCACTATACTAACGATGAAGTTGATACCTCTTCTTTTACTCATTTGCTCTGTTTCCTCATTCGAACGATTCGCTGCAAACTTCCACTTCGCTGCCGATGGCTACGCGGTCATTGAGAATTCATCAGAGCCTTTTCAGTGAGTACTTTTCAATAACTCGATTTCTGTGAGAGATATCAAAAAGTTGGCAAAAAATTCGGGAAAAATTAAAAATTCGAGAAATGTCAAATGAATTCTAAGAAAACCTTTCAAAATCTAGGATCTACTCAAGGAGGGAAGGAAGATTCTAAAAGATTTTCAGAGAATTCAGAAGACAATTCCCAATCTTCAATACACTTTCGAACACAGCTTAAACCCTTGACTGACTGAAATAACAGTCAGCCATAGCCGTCGGGGCTCGAAAGTGTAAAGGAAACCAGGAGAAATGTCAAATGAATTCTAAGAAAATCATTCAAAATCTGGGACCTTGTCAGAAAATGAGAGATTCTTAAAGATTAGAGAGTTCAGAATTTCTCAGATTCTCAGGTTTTGAAGTTCCGAAATTTTCAGATTCCGAAATACTGGAATTCCAAAGTTCTGAAATTCTAAGAATTCTGAGATTTTCAAGCTCTGAAATTCAGGAATTTATCACCACATTTGTACCCCTAAATCAGTTGTACCCCCTTGTATCCCCGAATCATTGTAACCCCCCCCCCCCCGAATTTTTCGCCCAAAAAGTTGTCAACTGATAGGTTGTTTATCATAATAGCATCATAATTTTATCAGTTGACAAAATTTTGATATCTCTTATAGGAACCTAGATAAAATGGGTCAACGTGAAAAGTTGGGGGTGTCCTTAGGGGTAATTATCAAAATTTCTTTTACAGTAACCCAGAAGAATTGGGTCGAAGTAGACGTTATGGGTTTTTCGATATCTAAAATTTTTCAGAATAGCCAACCGTGAATACTATTGGGAACGAAACTTTCCACCAGTGTTGGGCAGCCCGATGATCTGTGAAACAAGGGAGGACTCCTATGGCTGGCCACTGGGATCCGTTCGCTTTCTGAATGGCTCAGTACCAAAATCGCTGTACTACGCGTGCCCAGAAACTTCATTCTGTGGTTTTCTCACCTGTCATTCGAAGGACATGAGCATTTTCGTCGTTTTCACAATGTGAGTAGCCCTGTAGAGGGCCCCCTAACTTTGAGCACAATTATCTTGTTTCTTGGCAGAGGTAGGAAAAATCTGTCAACTGATAAAAGACTTTTGATGTTATGATAAACATTTTTCCAGCAGACCAATTTTTGTTATCATTGACAGGAACCGAGAAAAATTGACTCAAAGTAAAAAGTTAGGGGACCCTACAATTATAGCTATTACGGTAAGCATTTTCTAGCTTCTTCATCTCCATGTTCCTGATCTGCTTCTGCTACATCTGCTACTACCGTAGCCAAAACGCCGACCGACGAGACGAACCATTAGAATTGAATCGCATGATTCCAATCATCCTGACTACGGAGCCACCGATCGCAGATGGGGAGACAGAGACTTCTATGGAAGAAGGGACCGCACTGGACACCACCAGAGGACCAAGATACGGTCATGTCATTGTCTCTCGTCATAACATCTCTCGTAATCCATAATGTTTTTTTTCTTTTTTGGAATCTGACCTAATTAAGTTGAGTATTGACTGATTTTGAGCTGTCAGGTAACTTGAGGGGCCTTTGGGAATTATTTAATTCATTGGAATAGGAAAGCTGGATACGAAATTTGTCGTACTAGGAATTGAAAGTTGACAAAAACAATAATACAAAGAAGACGGGGTTTGAGGGCTCAGAAATGGTCTATCCTGCGCCTGGTGTGTTTTCTAGGCCATTTAACATGGTGGCCTAACTTTTGTTTTCTAGGCTACCAACATTTCTGGCCTAGAAATGATCAGATATTCACCTGATGTGTTTCCTAAGCCATTTTCATATAGTGACCTAACTTTTTCCATTTTGAGTTTTCTAGGCCACCAACTTTTTTGGCCTAGAAAGGAGATAATATTCACCTAGTGGGTTTTCGAGGATATTTCAACATGGCGGCCTAACTTTTCCAAGTCGAGTTTTCTAGGACACCAACTTTTCTGGCCTAGTAATGACCTGATATTTGCCTGGTGGGGTTCCTAGGACATTTTGACATAGTGACCTAACTTTTTCATTTTGAGTTTTCTAGGCCACCAACTTTTCTGGCCTGGAAATGACTTGATATTTACCTGGTGGGGTTTCTAGGACATTTGGACATGGTGGACTAACTTTCGCCAGTTGAGTTTTCTAGGTCACCACGTTGAAATTGCCTAGGAAACACACCAGGTGAATATCAGACCATCACTAAGCCGTTTACCATGGTGGCCTAGTAAACTCAGCTTGCAAAAATTAGGCCGCCATGATATAAAAATGACTTAGAGATTGACTTGGAATTTTTCAAATTTAGCCGAGAAGGTTATGAGTGAAGTTTGATGAGTTTCCTGACCATTGATCAAGAGCAGTTCCCCCACCATTCGAAATAATCTTTTAAGCCTTCTGTCCGTTTTTTTTTTTCAACGCGCGTTCCAATTTTTTCGAACCCCCAGCTCCCTTCCCTTAAGCCCCCATTCGACTTCACTCTTCATGTCAAAAAATGGCAAATTTATGATTTGCTGTTGCTAAGCACTTGAGACAGAAAGCCTCTTTTTCCATTTCGTTTTTTTTATATCTCCCAGGACTACCCCTCCCCTTATTTTTCCCGGAACCTTCTCCTCCTTTAATTCGTATGAGCCTCATCCTCTTGTTGATCTTCTGGCTCCTGCTCGCCACTGTTTTCATCTATTGCGTTGTCCACCTCATCTGTACCAACTATCCAGTCCCTTTCTGGACGTTCGTGGATCGTATCTGTCGTCGGTTCCATTTCCTGGCCCGACAAGAAGAGCTAAGGAATTTCGTTCAGGATCTGATTGATATCAGTGTTTACGCGGGGCTAGAAGAGGAGGAAGAAGCGACTACTCCATCCGCGGAATCAGTGGTTATCACAGTTTATCAGAACCCAAGCTATCAGAATTCAAACTAGGGGATTTATCTTCCCCTTCAGACACGAAGGTATTTTGTACTCACCACTAGCAACCGAATACAAATCTCAAATCCCCCTCGAGGCACCTCTTCTCTTTATTTTCCTTCTTTTTTTCTCAAAAATGAGTCTTCTCGTGATTCCTTTACTTATGGTCGGATTGGTTTCATCGTTCGAGTTGTTGAAAGTCGACACTGGAAAATGGACCAGTATGAACCCAAATAGATCACCAAGCCAAGAACCAGTGAACTACACAGTGATTCAGAATCCCAGAAAATCATTTTCGTAAGTGTATACCACTTTTTGGCAAAGCTCGCGGCCGCGGCCGGCCGTGACTCAGGCCGTGGGTAGGTAGCCGCAGACGGTCGTGGCATAACTTTGCTCTCAACTTTGCCCCTGTTTATCTTGGTTCATGTAACAGGTATCAAAAATGTGTCGACTGATAAAATTTTGGTGGTTTTATGATAAACAAATTATCAGTGAACAACTTTTTGATATCTTTGACAGGAAGAGAGACAATTTGGATCAAAACAACACTTATTTTCGGACCCATAAACTTGATTTTCAGCCGCTTTGGTATTGTGTACTACTGGTCCGGCTACTATAAAGCCACCAAGTCCAATTCGAGAAAATGTGTTTTCTTAAAAAACTACCCAGACTGGCCATTCGGTGAGCACGTTCTTCCCAATGGAACCATCGTAACTGGCGTGGAATTCGGATGCACCAGCGATCAATATTGCAGAGCGTACAAATGTGATACATCGATGACTGCTGCCCTTATTTGGTAGGTTACGGTAGTCCAGTCTCCACCGAACGTTAGAAGTTTCAGGGGGTCAATGCTTTTAACAGCTACCGTTTTCTCTGTTGGAATAATCGTACGCCACGTCATCATCACTCATCGGCAAGCAGAAGCTCCAGTTAACCAGGACATGGAGATGAGGGGAGTGTATGTCCCTGTGGTCATTGTCAGTGGAGCGACGAGTAGAGATCAAAATGCTCCAGGAGCAATTAATGGATGATTTAAACTCTTCTTTGATATGATCGGAAGGTTTTTTCGAATAAACTTTTTTCTTTGTGATTTTGCTAGTCGTACCAAAGGAGTCCTTAGATTTCCTCTAATAGAAGCCCATGGACTTCTATGTATTTTTCAATCTCTTCCTCAGGGTGGGCTTCTATTTTTCAATGATTTATTTTCAGAAATTCAGAAATTTGACAATCCGGAAGCTATAAATTCTGAAATTCAGTGTTTTGGAAAATTCGAAAAATCATTCTGCAATTTTAAATCCCAAAATTCCGAATTTATGAAATTCTGAGATTCCAGGACCTCAAAATTCGAAATTCCGGAAAAAAGTTCTAAAAAATTATAAAATTCTGAAATTCGAAAATTCATGCTCCAGCTCCAGATCCAGCTCCAGCTCCTGCTCCAGCTCCAGCTCCAGCTCCAGCTCCAGCTCCAGCTCCAGCTCCAGCTCCAGCTCCAGCTCCAGCTCCAGCTCCAGCTCCAGCTCCAGCTCCAGCTCCAGCTCCAGCTCCAGCTCCAGCTCTAGCTCCAGCTCCAGCTCCAGCTCCAGCTCCAGCTCTAGCTCCAGCTCCTGCTCTAGCTCCAGCTCGCGGACCACCTCGAGATCCTGCTCCATGGGAAGCCTGGTTACTGGTTCCCGGCTCCAGGATCCGGGCTTCTCGTCCCGGATCCCTCCCCTCCTCTGGAGCCCAGAGAAGGCGAGAACTGATTCTTTCCTCTACTTCCCTCTTCCTTTATACTAATCTTCCTGAGGCAATGGGCCATCTAGGGTGATAGGCTTCGAAACCAATTCACAAATATCACTAGAATTTTCACCTTTGAACCCGTGAACCTTCTTGAAAAGATCCTCGATTTGAGCTTAATTATCTCGTTCCCTGTGAAAGATATCAAAATGTTGTCAACTGATAGAATGTTGCTGATATCAAGGCAAACATGTTTGCTGTTGAAAAGTTTTTGATATCTTAAACAGGAACCAAGAAAAAGTTATTCGAAATTGACGGTTAGAAATACCGTAAACAATTTTAGAACCGTCAGCTTTGAGCCAATTTTTCTCGGTTCCTGTACGAGATATCTGAGATTTTATTTACTGATAAATTGTTTATCATAATATCACAATTATTTTGGCAGTTGACAACTTTTTTGTCTTTGACAGGAACTGAGATAAAAGATCTTTGACATGAACTGAGATAAAAAGGCTCAAAGCGACCATCTATTGAAGGATTACGGTATCTGTATTTTGATCCCTTTCCCCTTCCACCAAAAAATTGTGTTTCTAATCCGTTTGAAAAAGAAATTCTCATCTCTTTTTTTCCTTGCTTTTCCCATTTTTTTGTACTCATAAATCCCTCACCGTTGCCCCCTAACAACCGCCATCGCCCATCCCATCCCCGCCTCCCCAATTCTTATTCCAATATTTTTTGTTTCTCTTTTATCCATTCTTTTTACTTTTTTTCATCCGTTCGAACAGCAACAAAATGCGAGCATCTCTTCTACTCTTTTTCCTTCTAACCACTACTACCATGGCAACTATCAACCAGTCAAACTTCCGACAACAAAATGTTGAATTTTTGTTCAACATGTTCAAAGACTACAAAGTTATCCAGGAGCCAAACCATCCGATTTTGTGAGTTTGAAAACTGATTTTTCAGTTGGTTTTCAGAATTTTAGAAGCCTGTAGCTTGACTTCCAAGGTTCGTATGACTTTGAAATTTTTGGAGGATGTATAACACACTTAGATTAAAAAATTTGCATTCACAAAAAATTTTGAAAATTCCCAGTTTTTCAGCTATTTGTATTGTATTGTATTGTATTTATTACTTAAAAAATACGTGGAAGAATAAAAAGAAAAAAGAATGAAAAATAGAATAAATAGACAAAAAGGGACATGGTGACATAAATAAGCAGTTCTTTAATAGATTTAATTCTAGTTTAGCATTCATTGACCACTCATAGATTTTATTGATTGATTCTTGCAGAGATCCTCCCATGTCTCCTTTTTTAATTGGGCAGTATATTTTTGTCGGTTTCTGAATGACACCTGTTTTACCGTTTTGGTTCAAAAGGGGTCAAAAAATGAGTTTCTTTCAGAAATCGGCATTAAGAACTATTTTTAATCATAAAATAAACAAAAATTCCTGCAATTCTGTCTAAACATCACCCTTCTAGCACTTCTAGCGGCCGAGATAGAGCCGCTACTATTTTCGGAGGCTAGAGACGCAGACGACTAGACACGCTGCGTCTCTAATCTCGGAAACTTCAATTGACCGTATCTCGATTTCTAGATAAGCTAGTAAGTTGGTTTTAGAACAGAATTTCAAGGTAGGAAACGGATTTTCATATTACATTTTAAAAAAATCATAATTGGAAAATGTACAGTACCGGTCAAAGATATTAAAAAACATGATTTTTGCAGTTGATTTTAGACCACTTTGACTATTTTAGAAATTCTGTGAAAGCCAAGTTTCCAATCTAGGTATGTTTTACACTTTCCAAAGTTTACAGACTGACCGGAACCTTGACAGCCAAACTCCAGACTCCTCAAGATGGTCAAAATGGGGTAATGTAACTCCGAGATATTTTGTATTTCCAGCTACCAAGGTATGGCATTCTACTGGTACGGTGCCTACGTCCCATCCGCCGAACGACCGCAATCCTGTATCATCCTCGCTTCCCACCCAGATTGGCCATTCGACAGAAATGTATTCAGAAATGGAACAATCCCAACTGCAGCCGTTTTCGGATGTCAGGCAGGCAAAATGTGCCAAGGGGCCAAATGTGTCGAGCCGTTGACCCATTTTAAGTAAGTTTCTTGTTTCAGAGACCCAGGGTCCATGGGGTATATAGAGGGTACATATAGTTATTAGTTCTTATAATTTATATAGAGGGTACATAGAATTCTTACATTCTTGTTAGGGTAAATTGATTCAGAGGGTACATGGGATCTCAGGTAAATGTGTGTGGGACGTTTTAGCATAATCCCTGTGTACCCTAAGAATTAGATGTACCCTCGGATACTGTGCCTGTTTGAATGTCTATCAAAAAACATTCTTTAAGTGTCGTCACCTACACTCTCGTCGGAGTCGTCATTATTCTCATCATTTGTCTGCTGGGAGGTAAATCGAGAGCCGCCAAAAGGAACCAGCAAGCAGAGCCACCGAGAGGAGCCACCGAGGTTTTCGAGCGTCCGCGTCGTCGAGCGCCACGAGACCCATCCTTTGATAATCTGTTCTCACCACCACCGAGCATGCCACGTGACAATCGAGTAAGATTCATGAGCCCACCAGAATATACTGAATAGTTTTGCTATCAATTTTTAAAATTCTAAATAAATTCCTTGCTGTTACGAACTTTGGCTTTTGATCTAGATTCCAGATTTTTGAAAGACCTGAACTATACGAACTATAAAAGATGTCTGTTCTGTCTAGAGATACAATTGTATTCTAGATACATATAATCTAGAAAATTTATGAACTTCCATGTAAGCCGGAAACAAACTACGGTATTTGCTCTAAAACAAGCCCACTCCATACGTGCCCTTTGAGCGCAATTATCTCAACTCCTATAAGAGAAATCAAATTTTTCTCAACTGATAAAATGTTTATTGTATTATTACCAATATTTTATCAGTTGACAAAATTTTGATATCTCTCATAGGAATTGAGATTATTGAGCTCAAAGTTGAAGATACCCTATTGAGGCTTAATATAAATTCTCTGAAAGAATCCTATACGTACACTTTGAGCTCAAATATCTAGGCTCCCGTGAGAGATATCAAAAATCAGTCAACTGATAAAATGTTTATTATAATATATGTGATATTTTATCAGTTAACATATTTTTGATATCTCGTTTTGAAACCGAGATAATCGAGCTCAAAGTGCACATACAGGGTGGGCTTTTTTTAGAGAAAATACAGTATAAGTTGAAAAACTTCAGATTTCGTTCAAGTGATTCTATTGGCATTAAAAAATTTATTATCATAAAAAATCCTTTTTTTTTAAAGTTCAAAAACAAAGTTGATAAAAACAGAATGATTTCCAGAAGCACTGGAAGTCGTAAAATGAGAATTTCGCTAAAAAACAAGGGACATGAAGAGTAGACAGTCTAGGATGCATTATATGCCATATCGATATCATTTTCAAATTGGGAAAATAATTATCGGAAAATTCAAATCGATCTTCCAAAATCACTAGACAGAATGCGTTCAACACTGAAAAGAATTGGCTTCTTGAACTCATCTGACGACGAAGAATTCAAAAATCGATATTCTAAATTTCGAAATTCCATCTTTTCCAACATTCCATTCTTACAGTGCCTTCTCAGCGAGTGGTACACACTTTCATAACCCATAACTGCCCCTGCTGGCTTTGTGAGTCCCCAAAGTTTGCCGATTTTTTTGGTATTCCTGATTCGAAACTCCTGATTGGTTTTGTTGGTCCAGCAGATGATGTCCTTATTAGATGGGTCACCTAGAAGACCGTGAAGAAAAGGGAGCATTTGAATTTGGTTGGAGGATTTCTGTAATCGTTTTTCTTCATTTTTTTAATCTTAAAGTTATAAATTACCAGTGTTCTATTTTCACTACACAAAATACGATCGATTCCAAAAAGCAAAGATCGTTTGGTAGTTTCAACTGGGGCATCTGGGTCCACAAATCGATATTCATAAAATCTACCATAAATTTTCTCCAATAAATGCTTCTTGCAACTTTTTCTCAGTGATCTGGACATATTGTTATAAGTCATGACTTTGGTTTTTCGTCCAGGTTTGGTGAGTCCCCAGAGCTCGGCAACTTTGTGTGGATTTGATAGCAGGAATTCCAATTTACTCTTGTTGGTCCAGCAGATGATATTCTTCTTTGAGTCGTCGTCCAGAAGTGCACGAAGGAATGGAATGATTTGGGGAGGTTTGATGGGGGAAGATTGAACTTTTGACATTTGAACTGAAATTGTAAAAAAACATTGAGAATCGCATAGATGCTTAAAGCTCACCGAGATTTATAAGACAGTAGAAACAACAGAGTGGGTAGAAGAAGACATCAATTTTGATGAGATATGCTCTTGTTATGGGTCCAGTCACTTGTTTGAAAAAAATTGGAGGTGAGAATGGTAGATCAAGTTTGATACATGTCTGAACAGAGGAAAAAATATTTTAATCAAAACAAAGAAAATATTTGATCTACCGTATATAGCATAATGTGGTTTGATTCGTTCTTAATTGAACTGTTTGAACATTTCCGAAGCTTGAACTCAATTATTTTGTAGTCTGAATATATTCCCGAGCATTTTGAAATTTATATTTTGAAATTTCTATTCAGCTATAGTTGTATCATCAGGCTGTTAATATCAACATAACAGATAATTATTCTCATGATAATTTATTCCCATGCACCTCGGAAGACCCTTTGTCTCGTTATGTTATCGGTATACTGTAAAACTCTCTCACCATCCTTTTTCTCATGCCCCCTGGGAAGATTCCCTTTCACATCTTCGGGTCTATACCCATACTAAAAAACAACCATGAGAATCTGATATTCTCCCACGGTTAGATCCGGTTCCCAGGCTATTATAACTGAGTTAATAGTCCCGCCGATTTGTGCCAATGATCAATTCAAAATGAGATTCTGTCATTCCGTCATTTTTGTTTCGTCGGAATTGGTGACCCGTTTTCGGACCTCTCCCAAATTGGATCTCTTACCAACTCTACATCACTGCTTGATTTCTCCAAGGTAAGTATTTTATTATAGAAGTTTGGGAATTTTATCGGAACACCTGGGATGTTTGAACCGGGTCCCCTATTATTCAAACTTTCACATTTTTCTTAAAGATCGGGGTATGGGAGGGTTCTCTGTAAATTTCTTGTTGAGTTAGTTTGAACTTTTCACATTCTCTTTAATCTGAAAATTAGCTTCAATTCAATTTGAACTATCCCATTTTGTTCTAAACCTTATTTTTTCCCTCGTTCCCAGTTAGATCCGGCCAGATGGTCTGCCCCCCCCCCCCTCTCATTTTCCCATATAAGACCCGTGAGAAAACCGACACAAGACAATAGTTATATTCGTTCCCACGTTTCGGTATCTTTGCGGTATAGTGTGAGATTCCCATGATATGTCTCGGCCCCGCCCACGGTTATCTAGGAATGCTGGAATTTAGAATCCGGTCATTCTTACTCCAAACTCTCATCCAAATCGTTGACCTACTTTCTTGTCTTCCTAATACTGAATATTCAGAAATTTCTGAGAAGTTTTTTATCTCCTGAGCTTGGTAAGTGTTCATTTATTTACCACATTCCTCGATAATGCTTATCATTTTCAGATCTCCACCATGTCAAAAGCTCCATCATCTTCTTCCAAAACTTCGAAAAAAGTATGCATCATTCCCTTCCTTCGTGGACTTCTGGACGACGACTCAAAGAAGAATATCATCTGCTGGACCGACAAGAAAAATTTAGAATTAAGACTATTGGATCAACACAAAGTTGCCGAACTGTGGGGACTCAATAAGCCAGGGAGAAAAGTCAAAGTGATGACGTACGACACGATGTCAAGATCGCTTCGAGAGTTTTGTAAAAAGAAGTTGTTGATAAAACTCGATGGAAGAAGTTGTGGATATCGATTCGTGGATGATTCTGAAGCCTCTGTTGAAAATCAACCACCTTTGCTATTTGGAATTGACCGTCTTATATCAGGTGACTTCGGAAATTCTTTGTCAGGGTGAGTAGAAGTTTTGGGCTTTGAAAATATATAACGCATGACCCTGAAAAATTGGGTGAAATTTCAGATTCTTCTATTTCAGTTGTTGCTGATCTTCCATCTATATAATGCATCCGAAAACCGTAAAATTCCTCTTTTAATTTCAAATTCTAATAGTTGTGTTTTTCAGATCAACCTCCAAGCCATCGGATTCTACTTCTGGAACGTGCACTTCAGCACTCCCGAATCCCTTAAATCAAGCTGGCACCCACTGAACTTCAATCCGAATTTTGCCTGTTATATTACCCGATTCGCTTTCCCTGCACCACCGATACCAGAATGTCATTAACAATTCCAATCTTTTTGATAATTTTTTGATAGATTCTTATTTTTTTCTTCTGTTTTGGTTTCACATTAATAAAAATTTTTATTCAAAAAAGGTGTCACAAATGTTGTTAAAATAGATAAGACAGGATATTAGATGAACACAAAAATGGGTCCTCTTTGAAATTAAAAACAACATTTGCAAACTCGAAAATTCATAAAAATTTTTCGTTGTGATTAATTGCTCTCCAGAGTTCGACAGACTACTGATTCTGAAAACCTGTATAAATACTGTTCAAATATAAAAATAGTTTACGATGTCTTTTATAGCTCCTCCGGTATTCGTCGCAAGATACTTGTAGACAAAAAATGCGATAGTTCCAATTAGGAGAGTAATTAAAATAGGACAACAACACTCGTTTTGTAGCAAAAGCTCTTCAATCATTTTGAGATGAGAATGACCCAGAGGTTCGGTGGAAAGGAATCTTTAACTCAAAATCAACTGCTCAACTGATAAATATGTTTACAAAAAGTTAACAACACGTCGACTTGATACAAAAACGTTGAATTAATAACGAGGCAAAGGTTTGGGAACAGTGTGTACAAACACCCGTACTTTGAGCTCGACTATCTCGGTTTTTATGCGAGATATCAAGATTCTGTCAACTAATGAAATGTTTATCATATTATCACCAAAATTTTATCAGTTGACAAAATTTTGATATTTCGTATGGGAACCGAGATAATCGAGCTCAAAGTGCATATATAGGGTGGGATTCTAATAGAACAAAGTAGTCTTTGAACCGAGTTCTTTCGCTAACATAATTCTTTGCTTCCAGTACTCAAACTCATACGATCCTAGAGACATTCTGTGTCATGGATTCTGCTCCCTCTCCAAAAAAACAAAACAAATGATATAATGAAACCCGTATCTTTATTGAACATTAAATACTTCTGTACAGCTACATTCTGACAAATAATAAAGTTCAAAGAGGTGTCACTACATCATCTTCGGCCACAATTACTGTCGGTTTCTTTCCAATTTTTGATTTTCCCTCTTTCAAAGAACCAATCACAAGTTCGGCGAATTTGTCGGCATCGTCAGCGTACACATGGTGACCGGCGCTTTCCATTACCTGAAATTCAGAACTTTCAGAATCAGGGTACAGTAACCCAGAAAAAAACTAACATGTGATTCCACGTGGTCCAACTCTCCAAACATGGTTCTTGTATTTTTCCAATCTATCCAACTGCGCTCTCCATGAATGAATGTGACGGGGACGGTGTTGTCCAGCTCGTGGAATCTAAAATTATTGAGTTAAGATCCAGGTCAATCGCCTGAAACCCTACCGTTTACTCATCGGCTGTTTGGCCCATCCTAGATTCTCTGATAAGCACTTGAAAACCATTTCTCCTGTTGGATTCTTGGAGTTTGCTAGATAAATGTAGTCGTAGACATCTTCAGAATATTTCAATGCAAGATCCGGTCGAAGACGTTTCATAAGTGTCGGACCGTAACCACCAGCGAGTCGAAGAACAGCCAACGGATTGAATTGTTGAATTATCCAAAATATACTTTTCTGACGACTTGTTAGTTTGGGCATCATTTCCGGATCCATTTCATTGAAGCCCCATGGATCGGCTAGAACTAGATTTTCCACTCGTCCTGGATACTTGAGTGCGTACGACGTGGCTAGGTATCCACCAAACGAGTGACCCACTAAATTCATCTTCTCCAGATTCATTTTGTCTCTCCATTGCTCAATCGAGTCTATCATTTCGATTTCAGCGGTTTCGGGGTCAGTCGAGAATTTGGGACGTGAGGAGCGACCGAATCCAGGTAGATCAAACGCATGGACGGTTTGAAATTGTGCGAGTCGTTTGATGGCGGATCCCCAAAGTGCGACGCCGGCACCGAATCCATGGATTAGGACGATCGGATATTTGGTTTGAGTGGATGGTTGTTCACAATTTACAGTTACTGTACTGATTTCAGTGTTTTTGAATGGGATCTGGAAAAAAAAAATAGAAATTTGATTTAAAATTTTTTTGATTTCCAAAAAATAAAATGCCTCACCTGAATAAGTCTAGCCAAATAACGAATACCAAGTGCGGTGAAGATGCGTCCCTCGGCTTCAGCGAGTCGCTGACTTTTCGATGGACACGAAAAGTAGGCAGGCAACCTGAAGCGAAATGTGTGAAGTTTTTGGAATATCGTCATCTCGTCATCGCCTAGTCACCAGGATAAAAACCAAGAATAATCGTCTTCGTCGTCGGCCATCGTTGGTTTTTATATGGATAGCTTCACGAGTATAATTTCAAAAAATGAGCAAGGGATTTTTGAATTTTTTCGTGGTGACCACATTTTGGTATTATGCTGGTACAGAAAAAAGGGAAAAAGGACAAAGGTCCTAGAAAGGCAACTACCATAACCCAAAAATTGTTAGATTTTGAGGGTTTCTCGATTTTTCTGGAGGCAAAAAACAAAACTGGCAAAGTCCACCCAAATTTTTTGAATTTGGCGCCATCTAACGGGTGAAGGGAAACAAGGCGTTTTAGCCTAATGTAAGTCTATAATTTGAACAAAAATCCCACAAATTTTGTGTGCAAATTTTGCTGATTTTTGCGAAAAAATTCTAGTCAAAAAAGTACAGTACACTTTTCTGACTGGAATTTTTTTAACGTTTTTGATTTTCAGTTTGAAATTATAGAATTATATTAGGCTGAAACGCCTCGTTTCCCTTCTACCGGGACCTCCGGAAAAAGGCACCAATTTCAGATCATTTGAGTGCCCCCCCCCCCAAAACCGTAAAACCTGTATTAGAAGGGCCCCTTTAATAGAAGGGCCCATCTAATAGAAGGGTCCTCCGGGAGAGACTTGGAAAAATATAAATGCCTCCTGTAATAGAAAGGCCCCCGCAATAGAAGGCCCCCCTGTAAAGAAAGACCCCCTTCAAAATGTGTCTTGAAATTAAAAAATTTCCGTACGTTTTCAGTGAAAAATTATCCGGGAATTCCACAATTTGTTAGAATATTGTTGAAGCTCTATTTTTCTATGAAAATCTTCCAAAATTTTGGTAAAATTGGCATAATTATTTTCATGAATTTTGAACAAAAATTCGTCTAATTTTTCGATGACAAAATACGGGAAAAATGACCAGAAAAATAGAAGGGCCTCCGGAGGTACCTTGGAAAAATAGAAGGGCCGGCCCTTCTAATACAGGTTTTACGGTAAGTTACGGTAGTGGTTGTTTTAGGACCTTCGTCCACGGCCACCGACGTTTTAGCTTTTTTAGTACCAACATAATAATATTTAGGAGTTTACTTTAATATCAAAAAAAAAACAAACCATGTTCGAGAAGTCGTTACAGCGGCTTCTGTCATCATTGATGCAGAATAAAATTTTCAAAAAAAAACAAAGTAAATTAAAATTTTCAGTGAGAACTTTGTGTCTCAAATGCTCTTATGATAGCCATCATCATTTTTCGAGGAGGGACGGCGGGTAGAAGAAATTGTGTTCATGTGACTGTGATGTCCTCTTTTCGCACACTCTCTATTTTTGTGACCGCATTGCGAAATGTGTGTTTGCGGGCCACGACACACTTTGTTGTGAAGCAGAGGAGATGGGAATAAAAGTGACGCAAAATACTAGTCAACATGGATTCTAGGATTCTAGAAGTTTCCAAGGTTGACATTTTAGAGATCTTTGAATCTCAAGGCGCACATGTTTGGTCTGGAACATAACATGTGACAGTTGTATGATTCGTCAGGAGTTCCCCGGTTGTTCTTTGTGCCCATATGGTCTATATTATTTTCTTAGCGTTTGGTTTGCAACTTCTGGTTGGAAGTCGGGCGGATATTGGCCAAGTTCTGGTCCGAAGTTCCCCATAAACGGCTGAATAGCGGGCCATGGTCAGACTTCGAAGTTGAAAATTGAAATACTACTGGGTCGGAACCTTGTCATACGGAGTTTGCTCGGCTTCAATAGCGGTCGGAATCTGATCAACCGCCGACCATGAGTTGCCGACGACGCCTTAACTTTTATCAACAAAAACACATAAATATTATATTAACTGTTTATTCATCTGCATTAACTCAATTAACAAACCATATTCATAGCTTCAAAGAAAGATAATCACATTCTTCTAGTTTCGACCATCTGATCTGCTGATGCCACTAGTTTGATATCCGATTGTTCTTCAGAAGACGAAGCATCGCCACCTTCCTTGTACTCATTGGTAGTCACAGTGGTTGTTCGGAAACTTGAAGACTGACGACTTCATGAAAGTGACCGAGTCATTGGTGTAGTCGCAGAGAGCGTCAGGAAACTTGAAAACTTCGGATTGCTGGAAGTTACTCATTCCTCAATGCCAAAGTTTTCTAGAATTACCTGATAGTCGCAAACAACGACAGAGAGGATGACGAGAAGAAGCAAAGAGGCTTTGAAGGAAAACATTTTCGAATTGAAATGAAAAAAGTAGTCGCGGGTGCTCTCCGAAAATGTTTTACGGGTCGTCATGGCGTTTGTGGATGGATGCGGAGACGTTGCATTGCGGAGATGACAGATGTGGTTTCATGGAAGTTCAAAAGGTTCAAAAGAATACAGATGGTTCTCGGGTGTAGGCTTGCAGCTTCTGGTCAGAAGTTCACTAACAGATGGATATGGAATTCCGTCTTCCGTTTTCCGTCTTCCGTCCGGAAAAATTTGTTCGGTCTTCCGTCTTTCGTCTTCCGCAAAGTCCAGAAAAATCACAAAAAACGGAAGACTAACAATTCTCAGGATTTGTGGAATTTTTAGTCAAATGTTTCAAAATTCTTTCGGCGGATCCGTCTAACCGCAAAACCGATATGAAAATTCGTTTCTAACGTATTGCCCAATTCAAAATTTCCAAGTTTAATTTCTAGATTTTCCGTCTTCCGTTTTCCGCGGATTTTCTTGTTCCGTCTTCGGTCCGGAAAATTTTTTTTCCGTATTCCGGTTTCCGTTTTCCGTCAAAAAAAGTTTTGTTCCGTTTCCGTCTTCCGTCTTCCGTGAAGAAAAAATGTATTTCCGCTCAACACTGACATTGACCATGGAGAACTTGTCCAAAAACAGATGTATTGCGGATCATGGTCAGATCATGGTTGGTCGGAATTTGGAAATTGAAGTACTACTAGGTCGGAACCATGTCAAAATTGTGTCGGAGTTTGGTCGACTTTAGTAGCGTTCCTATCCGGAATCTGACCAATCTCCGACTAGAAGTTGTCAGTTATTAATGAATCCAGAATAGCTGCATTTACAATCAACCCACAAGGAATGGTATGGACGATCTTACAAGCAAATACTATTAGATTAAGATGGTAAAATGACAAATCTTTCATTCAGTGCAAAACTATATTTTTCCAGAGCTCCGACAATCTTTCATTTTATGCTCTCAAACAGTTTTAATTAACAGGGTTTATTTCACAAAGTTGATCTTAAGATCCATTCAAATTAACCACGTCCTTGTTGGCGATTCCATTCCGCACGTAGCTCGCGAATGTGATGGTACGTATCACTGATTGTCTCCACAATGTAGTTTTTGAATCTTACGAAGATGTTTCCCTTTGCCATCGTGACCGACTTTGAACGAAAATTAAGGTTACCTGTAAATTTTAAGATAATTATTTTTTAACCTAAAGATTTATGAAAAAATGAGCTAGTCGAGCATGAGCTAACAAGTTTGAAAGTGAGAAAGAAAGGGAAAGCAGAGGGCATGTTTCCAGGGATCACCATGGTTGCGATGACTTGAGTACGTGGATACGAGCCATTCCGAAGAGTGATTTATGTGTTATGGAAACTATTAATTTTCAAATTATACTCAACCCCAGATCAATTCCGTCAAAATATCTTGTTCTGAAGCCGAGTTATCTGCCGGCCCGGCCCGCTTGCAACTATGGTTCTCAGGCTCAGACTGCGCTATTTGACGTGATGTTGGGCTTAGGATTACTAGGTCAAGACTGTTCAAACCAAGCTCGTTTGGTCCTCTAACAAGCTTATTTCCAAAATGACGGATTAATCAAGCCTGACTCCTTTAATGCTCAACATCTCAAGTACAGTATACCCAGCCAGCCAATTCTTTGTAGTTTCATGATATTGTGTCTTCTGCTTGTTTTTATGTTCAAATGCTCAAGAAGTCGCTTTTCTTTTACGATATGTAACGTCTCCGTATCTATGGCTACCCGAAAACACGATGTTTCATCCGTCCTCATCCATCTTCATCCCGCAGTTTTTCATTCTGAAAGAAAAATGGTTCATCTCAAGTTGATCTTCGTTTTAACTCTAATCTCTTTCCATTTTTGTGACCTCGTTCAAGCTAAGGGAGAAGTATGTTCTTACTTGGTAGGTTGAATACAGTACATACTTTAGTATGAATTGAATTTTAGGATCAAGGAGGCATCATAGATATCCCAGCTCAACCAAAACCCCAAATACCATCCCAACCAATCCTTGAAAAAAAGAACGACAAACATCGATATGAGAAATCAGGATCACGAAATGTAACTTCTGAGGTTCCAGCAATTCAGTTATAAACATTTTCCAGGTCTGCAACTACACCGAGGCGATGTGATCTCGAATAAGGAGGAATAATTCACTTTTAAATGTGATATTCTGTGATTGAATATTAAAAAAAAGAAATCAATAAAATGTTTTGTTAAAACTGTGTTCCGGAAGTATCTGAACAACAAAATGAGTGGTTCCGCCGACCAAACTTAAGGGCATCAAGCCCAGAAAAGCAACTTGTTAGAAATTAAAAAAAAAGCGAAAATTCGTTTGAACCAAAAAGTTGGTCTCCTAAAAAACTAACTTGCAGAAGTTAGGCCAGCGTTGTTAGGCCATGTTGAAATTGCCTAGAAAACACACAAGGGTGAATATGGGTTCATATCTAGGTCATTCAACATGGTGGCCTAGAAAACTTGACTTGCAAAAGTTATGCCCGCATGTTAAATTGCCTAGGAAACGCACCAAGTGTATATTAGACTACTTCTGGACCATCAACTACTGTGGCCTAAAAAAATAGTTTGCAGAAAGTTAGGCCACCTCTGGACACCTTGTTTCCTGCACGGATAACACAATCAATAGCGGTTTCTCAAATTTTTGGTTCTCCACCAGGGTGGCAAATGTTTTAGTGATCATTTTCGTATTCAATCGTTTGTAGCTTCATGTTGTGTGTCCCCTTTCTGTTCAAATGCTCAAGAAGTCGCGATTCTTTTTTTCCCGAAAATCGAATACATCATTATTTCCGAATGAAACGTAGTATAAGATCCCAACATCAGAGCCCTTTTTTTATTTCATTCATTCATCCTTCTTACTCGAAGATGCTCCACTTCAAACTGATTCTCTTTCTTCTGGCATTTATTACTGTCACCGTCGGTGCCGGAGATGTAAGCTTGAATATATTTGAAATACCTTAAAACCAGAGATCTCCGGATTCCGGATTCCGGATTCCGTGATTTTTTTCATTCCGGATTCCGGATTCCGAATTCCGTGAAAAATATTTTTGTCCGGATTCCGTATTCCGGATTCCGGAAAATTTTCAGTTGTCCGGATTCCGGATTCCGGATTCCGAGAAAATTATTTTATTCCGCATTCCGGATTCCGTTTTTCAAAAAATTGATTTCGGACATCTCTGCTTAAAACCTGTAATAAGAGGTCTCCCTAACATTTGAGCCAGATTACCTCGCCGCCAGTGAAAGTCAAAATTGATAGTTAGGGAGGCTCTTCTATTAAAGGTTTTACGATAATACTTTGAAGGTTTGTGACTACACTCAAGCGCCACTTTATCGTGAAACCACTACAACTCGACGAGAGTCATTATGCAAAGACGTCCCTCCGGAGATCGAGTGCACCGTTGAGATGGAAGAAGAACAGAAAAATCAGAAAAGACAGATTAGATAGCATGTAATCGATTATACACTGTGATAAAGCTGAAAGAATCTGAAATTCTGGAATAAAGCTTTCTTGTTAGATTATTCGTTAAATGCATAAGTCTTTGAAACTTTCAGATTTGATGAACCAAGGATCCTTCAGATCCAATTGTTGCCCTTCCTTTCAAAATGTGTTTGCCCTATTTTAAGGATTGAGAATCTAAAGTCTGAATTAGAAAGAAATTTGCAGTACACATTGAAGCAAATTTGAAGCAATCTAGAACGCCTTTAAAACTGGCCTACCGTATTTGGTTTAATAGAAGCGCTCCCTATAGGTGAACTTTGAGCTCAATTATCTCGGATCCTAAACAAGATATCAAGAATCTATCAACTGATAAAATGTTCATCATAATATCACCAATATTGTATCAGTTGACATATTTTTATAGCTTTTAAAGGAATCGATATAATTGAGCTCAAAGTACATGTAGGGTTCTATTGGTTCACTAGGTTTCAGGGGATCTTCTAGAACAATCTCAAGGACTAGAGATTGCCTATTTTTACTGAAATTCTTAGAACAAAAAAAAACCTTCTCCTACCATATCAAATTAGTAGTTGACCACCAAAACGAGTGAAGTTTTCTTTATATCGCACCCGGTATCATAGTTTCTGTCCACCTTGAAAAAAAAATGAAATCAGCGTGACGCTATTGTCTGTCTTCTCTCTTTTTCTTCTCCTAAAAAACAAACCGTTTGGCCAATGTTCCATTGATCTTAACTTTTTTATATTTTTGTCAGTCAACCAGTCAGTTACTTCCCCAATGATTTCTATACTACTTCTATTAATTCCTTTTTGTTCTACCCAAATTATTCCAGAGCTTTTAGCCGGTGAGGAATAGAAAAACTACCATAAAACTTGTCTCTTTCAGTCAACTTATCTCAGTTACTGTACAAGATATCGAAAAATGTTCAACTGGTAAATTGTTTATCATAATATCACAAACATTTTATCAGTTGAAAAAAAATTTAATATCTTTCACAGGAACCAAGATAATTGAGCTCAAAATCGACAATGTGGGATTAGAAAAGTTATTGTAAAACCTGCAATTTCTAGGCGGTTTATCTCGTTTCTTGTAGAAGATATCAAAAAGTTGTCAACCGATATAATGTTTATCACAATACCACCAATATTTTATCAGTTGACCACTTTTTGATATCTTTTACAGGAAATAAGATAATTGAGCTCTAACTTGATAATGTACAAATTATGATTTTCAAAAAGTTTCAGGCATTCGAGGTGGTAGATTTGGGGATGGAGGGCGTGGTGGTCCCCGAGGTTTTCATAGAGGCCCTGATGGATTTAATGAAGGATTCGACGGAACTGGAGGTCCTGGAGGTTTTGACGGACCCCGAGGTCGAGGTGGTGGCGGTCTCGGAGGATTGATTGGGAACATCGCAGCAAATATTGAACAACAAATGGGATTGAATGATGCGGATGTTATTGGAGATTTGAGAGTGAGTTAAGAGTGAGCTATGGATCCTAGATCCTCATATCCTGAATCTTCCAGGGTGCCTCCCGTTCCGAATGGGGAGCCAAAGCTCGCCACTTCTGTCGTCGCTACCCGGGACATCCAAAGTGTCAACGAGGTCAACTCCCACAGTTCACAGATGTCCCAACCATCATAGAAACGATTATCTATAACGCTGGAGACCTTCTACCAAGAGTTCCATTGCTCAACATCCGCGACCCTCTAGCTGGGCTGAACAGCGAACTCGTCGGATTCATCAAGGGACTTCAATTGCAATTCGGACAGCTTAGCTCCCAACAAAGGAATGATATTCAGAATTCTTGTAGATCTTTCAAGTGCGATCAACAATCCACACAAAACACCCAAGCTAAGCATGAACTCATGTCGAAGGTTAGTGGTTACCGTACTCTAATAGAAGCACACTCAATAGTGCATTTTGAGCTCAATTATCCGGGTCCCTATGCGAAATATTAAAAATCTGTCAACTGATAAAATGTTTATCATAATATCTCCGATAATTCATCAGTTGACAAATTTTTGATATCTGTCTTAGGAACCGAGATAATTGAGCTCAAACTATGGTGGACCTCTAGTAGAACAAATACAGAAATTTTTGGAATTCTGGAAAATCGTATGAATTCAGATGTTGGCATTCGATCAAGCAGTTGGTGGAAAAGCTGCTCCAGCTCACGACAAGGTCAATTTACGATTTGACAGAACTCAGCAGGTCAAGCAGGCGATGCTCAAAAGGGCCAATTTGTCTCATATTGTGAGTTTCCCAGGATGGTTAAAAGCCCAGAAATAGTCAAAAATGTACCTGGTATGTTTTTTATGCTTTTCTATGCTATTTACCTTGGTGGCCTAACTTTTTCAAGTTGAGTTTTCTAGGCCAGTAAGCAAAATTGACCTGGAAATGAAACTGGTGTGTTTTCTAGGCCATTTACCATGGCGGCTGAGCTTTTTCAAGTCGAATTTTCTAGGCCACAATGGTGAATGATCTAGAAATGACCTGATATTCCCCTGGTGTGTTTTCTAGGCCATTTTAACATGCTGCCCTAACTTTTGCAAGTACAGATCGTTCCTGCCGACAATGGAGTATTCGATAGAGATGTGCTGCTAACGGAGCACCAAGCCAACTTCTTGCTCAATGAGCTTGGAGAAGCCGGACGTGGAGCAGATGTTCCAGGAGTTCCCGGTGGTCGCTCTCCAAGATCTGGAGTCTTTTTTCAAGAGAACATGGTTCAAAAATGGGACATCTGGAAGCCGATTCAGTACACTTTGGATGACTCGTTAGGTATTTAGAAGACAAACATTTAGAAAAATCTGGAAAATTCCAGAAGAATCGGATAAGAAGGATATTCGAGATGCCCTCCACGAGATTTCCATCAACACCTGCATTTTGTTTAAGTACAACGCCAAGCCCAAAGGATATCATTTGAATTATATGAAAGTGGATAGTACAACTTTGTAAGGACAAAGGCTTTATAGGCGGCCGACCGACCGTCGACCGAATTTTTGCATTTGATCGTCGACATGCCCCAGAGTATTTGCGCACGCATTGAATGACGCAATGTTGCGTACGCAAATACCCTCTGGTATTTTGACGCGCAAATGCATGAATTCGGTCG